AATAAAGATATCATCATCATCATCATGTGTTTTTTTATTTTTTTATTCAGCCTTATTTTGTTCCTGTCTTATACATGAATGTAAATTTTGTAAGCGTAAGCCTTTCTTTGCCATTTTTCTTGAAGATTTAAAACTGTGTATGATTTCTGACTCCTCTAATAAGAAAGCTGTAAAAACTGTGAATCGGTTCAAAAGGTAACCTACATTATCTTAAAACATACTTTAATCAAGTTATTTGTTATGTATGTGTGTATACATGATCCTCTGTAGGTTCATCCCGACACTGGTATCTCCAGCAGGGCGATGAGCATCATGAACTCGTTTGTTAATGACGTGTTCGAGCGCATCGCTACAGAGGCGTCACGGCTCGCGCACTATAACAAGCAGTCAACCATCACGATCAGAGAGTTGCAGAGTCAGACCGCAGTCCGGCTGCTGCTGCCCAGAGAACTCGCCAAACACGCCGTGTCAGAGGGCACCAACAAGGCCGTCACCAAATACACCAGCTCTAAGTGATCACCTGTGAGCTGTCCAAAGAAAGGAGGGGCATTTCAACTAAAAAAAAAAAGTCATATGTAACATGGGGCATGTTTGCAATCACTCTTCAATATTAATAAATGCACACAGAAAATTCGGGGCAACTGTTCATTATTCTGATTTAGAAAGCAGGCGGTTTATTTGCAAGTGCAGAAGAAAGCCACATGAATGATATCGAATGACCATACCATACGTACAATGAATACCATGGAACTAAATTTTACATTTTTCCAGGATTGAGTTCCCATACGTGGACATTATACCATACATGTCCACGTATGGGAATTCCATCCTGACTTTTGCTAGTGAAATTTAAAAATGTCCACCAGTACTGTTACCATGTGGTTACTGAATTTAGTGAATACATACTATATAATAAATACATAAATGAGGTCATGAATTTGCACAAAGGTTAGTTGATGCATACCATTCTTGATTTGAAATGCGTATAATTTGGTTTAAATGTAATTTTGTGGCAAATGAAATCTAAAGGTTTTTCATGCTGCATTTTTGTTCTACTAAACTTCTCTAATTTAATAAAGGGCTTTATAGCTTATTGAAGTTGTGATCACATGCAGTTTGGAGTGTGTAATATCTTGCAAATCAATGCATGAATACCCCAGTTTACCCTCTAGGTCTGTGAGTGACCCTGCATATTTACACCACAAGTCATGTGCAGAAATCTTTCACACTGTAGCATCGTATGTTTGCCGCTAGATGGAGTCATTTTAACACTATTGAGACTGGAGCAGGAATATTCCAGCAATATTCACAGAATCTCATAATATTTACTTTTTCAGGAGGTAGTGAGTGAAATAGTCACAGATTGGGATGGAATAGAGAAACACTTTCAATGCTATGTGAGTGTGTTTTCCACACTGGATTAATTATTTGTATGGGTAAATTAATAATCAGTGTTGGAGAAAGTTACTTTTAAAAGTAATGCATTACAATATTGCGTTACTCCATATAACTAAAGAAACCCAAGCAAATCGCAATGACTGAAAAATAAATGCTTTTATGATTCTTAGAAGCAAAAGTATATTGCATGCACTGCAAAAAATAATATTGTGTGTGTGTGTGTGATTAAATTGTAATTAATAACTTTACATAAAGGCTAAAACAAATTTAAATTTTGGTGCAGTAATTGGATTTTCCAAGTTCCAATATGATGCCATTTCTCTGTGAAGCTTATTTATGGACATGAAACGATATTTATGGTGAAAGACACAATTAAAGCTCTGAGTCACATGCCTTGTGAGAGAGACATGCATTTGATAAACCAGAATAAGAAGCTTTAAATACAATTTTATTTTCATATTTAAAATGCTGAAATAATAACTTGTCCATTTTACAGTCTAGTAGCTGACCAATGAAGTATTTCACAGGGGGAAGCTTTGGTGAAAACAAATCACGCTTTGTCCTTCATTAATCAGGGAAATCTGAGGAATACTGGGCCCAGACATGGTGTTTCATATTCCCTGCGCTCTCTCCCTGGCTCTTACGATAAGCCTTACTGATGATCTTATATATGCTAATGATGGCATGTCTATGGACATATTACAGCGAGGGTGATGGTGTCATTAATGACAATGTCTTAAGCGTTATCGTCATCATCACCATGTTCCCCTTGATCTTGCGGTTCCCTCATAGATCCCCATGCGCTCATTTCATTTCTGCACACACAGTCTCTCTCTCTCTCTCTCTCTCTCTTTTGGGTGGTATAAGCACATTACGGATGGGGACATTAGTAACTAATGCAGGCACTGGGCCCCGCATTGTTTTGGTGCACAAGTACATCATTAGAAAATGTTCTACTTGGCAGGGAAGCGTGTATTAACTCGGCTCGCAATAAAATGAGGTTGTGATCAATTGTTAAAGTTATCGAGAGCTATTAGGTTGAAATATGAACCTCTCAATTGCCATAATGAAGAGGGTGCCCGATCGTACACAATCAACAGAGCAACATACACCATGCATTGCGGGTTTCGGGGCGCTCGAAAGAACGACAGAAAGCAATTTTGCAGAAAGAAAATGCAATGCGCGTCGCCCTAACCTCATTACAAATTTCACCTCATTACTAAAATTCAATAATCTACTCAAAACGTTAGGACCAACCAGCTATAAAACAGAATTGCAAGCTTTTCTTTTTTTTTTTTTGAACATTAGTAACTAATGCAGGCACTGGGCCCCGCATTGTTTTGGTGCACAAGTACATCATTAGAAAATGTTCTACTTGGCAGGGAAGCGTGTATTAACTCGGCTCGCAATAAAATGAGGTTGTGATCAATTGTTAAAGTTATCGAGAGCTATTAGGTTGAAATATGAACCTCTCAATTGCCATAATGAAGAGGGTGCCCGATCGTACACAATCAACAGAGCAACATACACCGTGCATTGCGGGTTCCGGGCGCTCGACAGAACGACAGAAAGCAATTTTGCAAAAAGAAAATGCAAGCGTGTCGGCCTAACCTCATTACAAATTTCACCTCATTACTAAATTTCAATAATCTACTCAAAACGTTAGGACCAACCAGCTATAAAACAGAATTGCCAGCCTTTTTTGAGCAACGGGACAATGCGGCTATCATAAACGCCAGTCTCGTGAAGAATTATGTCTCATAATGCCAGCTAACTTTTGATGGCGGCGCCAACGTTGACTCACGATTTTGGCAAACTCGCTGCATAAATTAATTTTATATAATATTCTCTACTGAGGCATATTGATGAGTCCTAGCCTTGGAAATTAAATTAATCCCCCAAACTTAATGTATCGGAACTGAACAGAGCCCAATCTTGAGGATAGCAATGGAAGACACTGTTTGGTACCACATTAAAGTTGCTGTTGTATTGTTAGATCAGTTTAAAATTATTACAACTTGTATATCAGCCTACAGCACCTTCTTTTAGGACCTATAAATGATAGAACAATTCAGAATAATGACTTTGTAAGTTATTTCAAAGCTGTATTAGCAGATGTTGATAGTTGTGTTTCTCACTAGACATGATCTATATTTGCTCATCTGGGCATCCTAGTAAACTACCGTTCAAAAGTTTAATTAATTAAACAAATTAATACTTTTGTTTAGCAAGGATGCATTAAATTGATCAAAAGTGACAGGAAAGACATTTAGAATGTTACAAAAAGTTTCTATTTCAAATAAATGCTGTTCTTCTTTTGAACTTTCTCATTCAAACAATGTTAAAAAAGTATCAGTTTGCACAAAAAAGGAAGAAAAAAAACAGAAGTGTTATTAATAATAAGAAATATTTCTTGAGCAGTAAATCAGCATATTAGAATGATTTCTGAAGGATCATGTGACACTGAAGACTGGAGTAATGATAGAAGTTCATCCAGGTCTCAAAATAGGATCCTCATGGTTGTCTACAACATCATCAATGGAGTCCAATAGATGTTAGACAAACCACAAACTAATGCTCTTGAATGCTTCATGATGTTCTTCGATCTGTCTTTGCTTCATCAGGGCAGATTTCATCTCATCCACCATTCTTGCAAGCTTGCAACACCATTTAGACAGCATTCAAACAGCTCATAATCATGTTGGTTATTCCTCGAAAAATATTCATTGTTATCAATTAGTTTCAACCAATTAGCTTGCATTTCTAATTCTTGGTCTGCTCTTTGTTCCTTTAATTAGTAAATTCATTAGTACCATCTAGTGTTGCACGCCAAGTAGATGTTTCAGCAATGTATTCTTATGATTTTAACATGAGGCGCAGCGGTGATGGCTGTATTAAGTGGAGGATAATCAGCAGGAACTAATTGTCTAATTGCACTGATGAAGGTTACGATCATTAGCCTGTTTTGGAAGTCCGGTCCTCAGCAGCGAGTGGCTGTCTGACCGGACCATCCTAACCCTACAGATGGCCTCACTGTTAAGCTCACGGCAGGACAAAATGACAGACATCTACTATCCACAGGGAGCAAGACAAACGAGTGTGTGTCTGCGTACGTGCATATGTATATGCGTGTTGCGTGTGTGTGTTGTCCGCAGGGAGTAAGACGAACGAGTCAGTAATTACTGATTATCACAAATGTACATTTGTGTTTGACTAATTTGCTTTGTGTTGACTTATTTTGCTAGATCTATGCTCAATATCCATTCATCAACCACACTGTTTCCTGCAGCCTTGGGGCAGAATTATTGCTCAACAGTATAATGTGATTAAAATCTATAAATCACATTAAATAAAAAGCAACAAAGCCTTATTTAAAAGTTTTGAAAAACATTTAAAATGCCTTCAAAGTTTAAAGGATCGATACTAACGAGGTTTTCCGCAGAGCTGACCTGCTGGTAAACGTCTGTTTTGATATAAACAGCAAGTCACTGTAGCAAACAAAGTTATATACCACGCATGTGACACTGTAAAAATAGTCCCGTTTGCACGTGGCCAAGTTCCTACTCAGATATCAAAACTCGCCCAGAGAGCAGAAGCAGAAGGCCATTTAAAAGATCCCAGGCCTTTTAGTGACTAGACCAAAAGACTTCTAAGAAACTAGTGTGAAGGCACAATCAGATTCATGTCTAGAAGGAGTCTCATGTATAAACCAACCTCTCTGCACTCTTTAGAGCAGGAAAGGCACCAGATGAGACTGGCTGCCCCAGTTCTCAGTGGTTACCTGCTGAGGAAAGAAGCCTGGGACAGGGGGACGTCTTCGAGGCAGACTGTAGGAAACCCTCCGATGGTGTGCCAGGACCCTGTTGTCCAAAATGCCCTGTACACTGGAAATGTAAAAGCCGTGAAAGAGATCTTCTCCAAAGGCTTTCCTTCAGACCTGTTCATCCAGCCTCAGGGAGGAGCCATGCGCTGGAGTGCAAATGGAAAAGTGAGAGGTAAGAACAAGTTGTTTGAGTTGAGTTTGACTGTGCACTTGTCTCCTAGAGATCCCAAGAGATTTGTTTCAATTGTCATGATTACTTGGACTGTTTACCTCTCAGATCTAGTTGGCCAGACAGCCTCGGGTTTCTGGACCTTTCTAAAGGTCATGCCAGGCGGCCTTTAAATAGCCTCTTTCTAAAAACAGGCAACAGACTAAGCAAATATATTCAGTGCAATCATCTCCAACATTGTGCCCAGTCTTAAGACCAACCCAGGCAATCAAAGTCGAAGCTGGATTCGCATCTGCTCCTTGCTTTACCTCACACATGGGCCCGAAGATTAAGTTTTGCAAACAAAAGAAATATCGCAGTGATGTAATTGCGACGGCTCAGGCGTCAGGACTTGTCCTCCAGTTCTGGAATGCGCTTCTGGTCGGAGATGACCTCACTGTTATTAGCATCATTGATGACCCAGAATATGCTTTTCTCTTAGATGCCATATATGACACCAGCAACATAGAGGAGTGGAAGAACTACAGGTTCAACTACAGAGGGCTAAGTATGCTACAGGGACACAAATGATGTGAAATTATGTTTTGGCGTTTGTTAAAATAGTTTGCTATACAAAATATGTTGGCTGCTTGTTCAGTTTGATTGAGCTAAAATGAGCTAAAGCAACAGAATTGCTGAGTATTTTATCAAACCTAATTTCATTGTGTTTAAACCATTAAAATACTTAAATGTGAAGTTTAATTATTTTGTGTAATGTATTTGTGTTGTGAATACATTAATCATTTTTGTTGCATTAACTGAAACTGCGCGAGTGGCTTTATAGAGATTTATTACCAAAAAATTATTACCATGAAAACATTTTTGTTCATTAAAATAAATGGTACCTTAAAATATATAATTCATAAACTTGTTTAACTTGATGTATCAAAATAACAAACTGAAACAAAAATTGTATATCTATACACTTTATATAAAAAAATTAAAAACTATGAAATTACAAATTTAAAAAAAGATGCCAAATGTGTCGTGCTGGAATGTTACGGCAGCAATTGTTGAGCCACAATGACTGGTTGTCAATCATAAATTAGACAATGCTTATCCCATTAAACATTTATAGTATGAGCTTTGTGTCAGTGCAGAAACGTTTATGTTTCAGTTTCAGCTTCTGAGGAAAACGACATTCCTTGGAATGATGAAGAGTGTATTTTTTAAACAATGGCTCACACTTTTGAGGTAAATAGAACGATAGGATAATCTTCTAAGTATGAAAAATAAGAATATTAAACCAGGGTGAAATCTCAAACCTGACTACCTAAAATCAATTACTAGCACAGAATATAGAATAAAATGGTGTGAAACAAGTCAACCCAGGGTTAAAACTGGTTAACAATTTTAAATGTAATTAATTTCTGTTCTCTTTTTTGTCATGCACATTTAGTTGTGGATGAGTATCACAGCAATGTATGGATTCCTATGCACGTACACAAGCACTCAAACTTTGTCACACTAGCACATCTTCATTTCCAGTATTTCCACGTCAGACTCACCTGCTGTCATAGTTATTTGTTCCCCTATGTGTTTCGGTTACACTCAGATTGCTCTCTTCTTTTTGCACCCACCCCGACTGTGTCTTTGAGGTAGTCTTGGGGTCATTTTATGAGTTTGTGTTTATGTTTGTTCCTATGAAACTTACTGATACTGATCACAAAAATGAGTGTTGCATAGTAGACAAATGCTACTGCACTTTTGAGTATGACATTACAGTCACATTGCATATTGAATGATGAAAAACAACCACATATGGTTTGGATCTGGCTTGAAAATCATTTAAATAAAGGTAAATAAATAATTAAAAGGACATATTAAATTGATCAAAATTGACAGTAAAGACATTTACTTGTTCTTTTGAACTTTCCATGTATAAAAAACAAAACAAAAAAAAACTGAAAATCATATTTATTTTAATCAGGGTTTCCACTAATTTTGTAACTGTAATATTGATAATAATAAGAAATGTTTCTTGAGCAGAGTAATGGCTGCTGAAAATTCAGCTTTGCATCACAGAAATAAATAAATTTTTATTTATATTATTTTTTAATTTTAAAATCTATTCAAAGAGAAAATACTTATTTTAAGTTGTAGTCATTTTTCACAATATTTTTTTTATAAAATACTGTATAAAATATAAAATACTTAAAAGTCGTTTTTACTGTATTTTGATCAAATAAATGCAGCATTTGTGAATATAATAGGCTTCTTTCAAAAACAAAACTTACCGATAATGCACCAAAAAAAGCTGATTTTTGCTGCTCATTGGATGCTAAGCTAAAATACCTTGAAACTTCAAACTATCCAGTCCTGTTCATGATTTCCTGATTGAAAATTAAATAAAGCTTCAAACTGCTGTATTGAATATCTGAATCTTCATGCAGTTAATCTCATAATTCTGCTTTTCTTCAGGACTGTGGTCATTGACATATGAACAAGAGCTGACCACACCACTGCACATCACCGCTGGTCGGGGTTTCACCGAATGTCTGCGGCATCTCCTCCTGAGGGGCGCTCGAGTGGACCTGGCACCTGGGGGCACCACTGCCCTGCATGAGGCCTGTGAGGAGTGCCAGCCCGACTGCGTCAAGCTGCTGCTGCAGTACGGAGCCAATCCCAACGCAACCAATGAAGACGGGCAAATGCCCCTGCACGTGTGCACTGAACTCAATTCACTTGAGTAAGTGCTTGTTCAGTATACAATTACAGGAAATCCTGTGGTGAATTTTGTGATTTCAAATGACTGTCAGATTGGCACTTGAAATGAAGGTACTGGTCAAAAGTTTGGAATAATTATTATTTATTTACTATTTTATTTTAATAAAGGCTCTTCTGCTCACCAAGGCTGCATTTATTTGAAAATACAGTAATTATATATATATATATAGAGAGAGAGAGAGAGAGAGAGAGAGAGAGAGAGAGATAGATATACTGTATTTTAGAATGTAATTTATTATTTTTTTTATCTTACCCCAATTTACCTTAAACTTTTTGAAATATACTGAATCATGGATTTCCGCAAAAATATTAAGCTACAGAATTGTTTTCAAATTTGATAAGAATAAGAAATGTTTCTTGAGCACTAAATCAGCATGATTTCTGAAGGATCATGTGACACTGAAGACTGGAGTAATGATGCTGAAAATACAGCTTTGCATCACAGGAATAAATTACATTATATTATATATATATATATATATATATTCATATAGAAAACAACTATTTTTAATTGTAATAATATTTCACACTATTACTGTTTTTACTGCATTATGGATCAAGTAAATGCAGCCTTGATAAGCATAAGGGAGACTTATTTTAAAAACATTAAAAAAATAATAATTATTCCAAACTTTTGACTGGTAGTGTACTTGTAATGTAGACTTTGATGCTAAATAATATCCTACAAAATTAATATCACTTATGCATACTGTATTATAGCCAGACTTTTTGAGTTTTTTCTCTGTTTTTCCAGGTGTGCCAAACATCTACTCGCATTCGGTGCTTTGATCAACGGTCAAAGCTTGGATGATAACGACACACCCCTTCATGTGGTGGCCCGCCATGGCCTTCCTGATCACGTGGAGCTCTACTTACAACACGGAGCTGCGCTTAACCTACAAAATGACGATGGAAACACACCGCTGAACGCCGCGTGCTCCCAGCCACAGGACTGCACGTCTCTGGAGCGCTACAGCCGTGTTTGTCACATGCTGGTGGCTGCTGGGGCAGACATTCATATCAGTGACGCGGACAAGCAGACTCCACTGCACATGGCATGTAAGAACACCAACCCTGACGTGGTGGATCTACTGCTTCAGTATAAAGCCTTGGTCAACGAAATGGATTATGGCGGTGATGCACCGATGCATAACATCCTGAAGGTGGTGGCCTACAAGATGGACCATGAGCCCGAGAGGATCGTACAGGCACTTCTCAATTACGGATCCATCAGGGTGTGGCCTGGAGCTCTGCCCAAGGTCAGGACAGGACAAGGGAGTCTGTTACTATAGCTGCTTTCCATTCAAAGTAGGATTATATCCCTATATCCCTACACACACAAAAATTTGGTTCTTTGGGGTGGTTGAGGTGCTATATAGCACCACTGCCATACAGAGAGAGAGAGAGATAGATATACTGTATTTTAGAATGTAATTTATTATTTTTTTTATCTTACCCCAATTTACCTTAAACTTTTTGAAATATACTGAATCATGGATTTCCGCAAAAATATTAAGCTACAGAATTGTTTTCAAATTTGATAAGAATAAGAAATGTTTCTGTTAAGCCCCTGTATAGTTCGTTAAAGGTTCTCTAATGCTCTCTTAGTCTCTTAGGTTCTCAACCTTTTTGCCTGCAAGGCCCCCGTATAAGGAAATATTCCAGGGCCCCCACACAAGACTTTTTGACCTCAGAAAAGCATAAAAGTGATTCAAAACAGCTTTTGCCATTGTAGTAAATTCCCATTCATAGCAAACATATGAGAGTGGAGTAACATCTCTAACATCTAAGGAGGAGAATGGGGTTCCTCTTATGGTTCTTCTATGATTCCTTTAAAGATAGGTGCTATATAGCACTTAAAGTGGTTCCCATATGATTACGAGCCAATTAACTACTTTTAGTGCTATTTAGCACCATTTTTTTAGTATGTAGTCAATGAATGCTAATGTTTCATAATAATTTTGAACCAATCTTACTGGGAATAAAATCCTTATCTAATAGTCACATTCTTGGTGGATATACTAAATTTTATATTTTTCATATATTTATCCACATTTTATCCTTAATGTTCTTTGTTTCATTCTTATTTTGACTATTTGTTTAATTATCTAATCATGACTGGTTCTAAATTATTAAATTCCGTTAAAATTCAGATTTGCTGACTAGGGATATACATTACTGACTACTACAACCCCAATTCCAGAAAAGTTGGGATGTTTTGTAAAATGCAATAAAATCAATAATCTGTGATTTTTTTTAATTCTCTTTAACTTTTATTTAATTGACAAAAGTACAAAGAAAAGATTTCCAAAGACTGATGTTGATGGCTGCAACACACTCCAAAATAAAAATGGTTTTAGAATATCCAAATTAAACTGTTTTGAAACAGTTCACAGTAAGCAGGTGAATTGGTAATATGAGGGTATCATGTTTTGGTGTAAAAGGAGCATCTCAGAAATCACAAAAATCACATTTCTCAATGCAAATTTGCAAAGAATTTAGGTCTTTCACCAACTACCACACATAATATTGTGAAAAGATTCAGGGAATCCAGAGAAATCTCAGTCCGTGTAGGGCAAGGCAGGAAACCTTAGTTGAATGTGTGACCTTTGAGCCCTCAGATGGCATTGCATGAGAAACAGTCATGCTGCAGTGTGAAATGTAACCACATGGGCTCAGGAGTACTTTGGAAAACTGCTGTCACTTAACACAGTATGCCGCTGCATCAATAAATGCAACTTTAATCTTTGTTACTCTAGGAGAAAACTACATCAATTCTATGCAGTGATGCTGTGGGGTTCTCTGGACCAAAGCTCATCTCAGATAGTCAAAAAGACAGTGGAAATGTGTGCTGTGGTCAGATGAGTCCACATTTCAACTTGTTTCTGGAAAAAATGGACGTTGATTTCTCCGTACCAAAGACCAAAGAGACCATCCAGACTTTCATCAGCAACAGAAGCAAAAGCAAACCACTGTCATGGTATGGGGGTGCAGCAGAGCCTAGAGCATCAGTGCAAATGGCATGGGTGACTGGCATATGTGTGAAGGTACTATTGACATGGAGGCATATATTGGAGTTGTACAGAGAAATATTGTGAGGGGTGTACTCACTTCTGTGAGATACTGTAATTATAATCATATTATTAATTATTGCATAAAATTATGATTGCAACCCCAATTCCAGAGAAGTTGGGTAATTTCGTAAAATGCAATAAAATCAAGAAATCTGTGATTTGTTCATTCTCTTTTAACTTTTATTTAATTGACAAAAGTACAAAGAAAAGATTTCCAAAGACTGATGTTGATGGCTGCAACACACTCCAAAATAAAAATGGTTTTAGAATATCCAAATTAAACTGTTTTGAAACAGTTCACAGTAAGCAGGTGAATTGGTAATATGAGGGTATCATGTTTTGGTGTAAAAGGAGCATCTCAGAAATCACAAAAATCACATTTCTCAATGCAAATTTGCAAAGAATTTAGGTCTTTCACCAACTACCACACATAATATTGTGAAAAGATTCAGGGAATCCAGAGAAATCTCAGTCCGTGTAGGGCAAGGCAGGAAACCTTAGTTGAATGTGTGACCTTTGAGCCCTCAGATGGCATTGCATGAGAAACAGTCATGCTGCAGTGTGAAATGTAACCACATGGGCTCAGGAGTACTTTGGAAAACTGCTGTCACTTAACACAGTATGCCGCTGCATCAATAAATGCAACTTTAATCTTTGTTACTCTAGGAGAAAACTACATCAATTCTATGCAGTGATGCTGTGGGGTTCTCTGGACCAAAGCTCATCTCAGATAGTCAAAAAGACAGTGGAAATGTGTGCTGTGGTCAGATGAGTCCACATTTCAACTTGTTTCTGGAAAAAAAAAATGGACGTTGGTTTCTCAGTCCCCTAGACCAGGGGTAGGCAAGTTCGGTCCTAGAGAGCCGGGGTTGGAGCTGAACTCTGCAGGACTGCGGCTCTCTAGGATCGAACTTGCCTACCCCTGCCCTAGACCAAAGAGACCATCCAGACTTTCACCAGCGACAGATGCAAAAGCAAACGTCTGTTAAGCATGCCTCTGTCCCAACTTTTTTTAAGTGTGTTGCAGCCATCAATCAAAATTTGTTTATATTTACAGAATACAATTAAGTTGGTCAGTGAAAACATTGGAAATCTTTTATTTGTACTTTTGTCAATGAAATAAATGTTGAAGAGAATTAACAAATCTCAGATTCTCGATTTTTATTGCATTTTACAAAATGTCCCAACTTTTTTTGGAATTGGGGTTGTAATTTTTGGGCAAAATATACCTTTTAAGAACAAGTTGAATTGGAAACTAACCTGTCTGCCATTTGTAAGGAACGAACCCACGTCTCAAGAAGGCATCAATCTGCAAATTACAGTTTTCTTTAGCACAGATATTTATCCTCTTGAACTAATATATAGAAATAAATTAACTCAAAACCATCATTAAAGTGACCCACAAGCAGCATATGATATTTTATTTGTCACAAATACAGAAATAATCACTTTTAGATAGATTTAGTTCTGTCTTTCAAAAGCGCAGTTAAAAACACTTGATATCACGCATCCAACGAGTCCCACTTGTGCCAAATAAATTGCCTGAGTCTTAACGAGGCAAATGTTAATAGGAGATTAATTAGCAGTAATTGCAGAAATTCCCCACAATCCCCCAGAGGGGGGCCCAATCTGTTCATCAGCCCAAGTAGTTATTTATTCCATGCGATGTTCCCCCAAAAATACAACTTTCCACCTTTGACCTCCACAACACAGGTGGGGCTGTTGCACCAGGTGGAAACTGACAAAAAGCTGCTCATCTATGACCAGCTTCCCTCCACTGTTTGTTATTGCAAAAGACACAGGATAGCATTTCTTGATAATTTTAGTCATTAATAGCAAAGCAAGATCTGATTCACAATCTAACCGGTTTCTGAAGAACACTGAATTTGGATCTGTTTTCAGAGATAAAAAAGATTTAGTTCTTATTTGATTTCACTTTAATTAATTTTTTATTTAGCAATAAGGATGCATTAAATTGATTAAAAGTGACAATAGAAACATTTATAATGTTACAAAAGATTTATTTTTCAAATAAATGCTGCTCTGAAGACTTAAGTAATGATGCTGAAAATTCAACGTTGCATCACATGAATAAATTACATTTTATATATTCCAAAAATGCTTTATTAAATATTATATATATATATACAAAACCACTAGAAACTAGATTTAAAAAAGACTTGATTCTTATTTGTTAGTTTTATTTCCCTGTTTGTTTGGGTTTTTGTCTTGTAATATGACAGCTTTATTCTCTAATATATCTGGCACAGGTGTTGAAATATTGCTGCACATCTCCAAGAACAATAGAAGTGCTCTTCAACGCATATGACCGTCTCAAAATCACTGAAGCCTGGGTAGAAGCTGTACCTCCTGAGGTGTTTCAGGTCAGATGATGTCAAGCTTTTTACTTTTTTCTCAATTATAATGTATTAAATATCGAAGTAAATGTTAAAAAGCAAGTTTTATTAAAATAAAAAGCACCTAAAGAGCTCAAAATAATTTCCTCACAATAGCAGATAATATAAATTATGTATATTGTTTTCACACAGAAACACCGAGAATTCTACGAATCCCTGTTTGCACTGATGCAAACTCCTCGATCTCTACAGCATTTGGCCCGTCACAGACTCCGAGCGTTCCTGGAAGGTCGCTTGCATAAGGTGGTCCCTAAACTGGGTCTACCAACCTTTCTTAAAAATTACCTAATGCTGGCATTCAGAGACTATATTCACTGAGAGAGACCACAAACCTGACACTGTACAACATATAGTATAAGCATGCAGTGATTGGGTTTTGTACCATGATGTACCATTGAGGTTTGTTGTATTCTGTGTGATTCTGAATGATTTGTGTTGGAAAACTGTCCTGTCTTTACCGAAGATGATACAATCAGGTAGCAATTTTATAGGGAATCATTAAATGGAGGTAATGCTTAATGCCAATCTGTGAGATAGATTTTTTAATGTAAAATGTGTTTTATTATTACTGATATCTATTTTAAAGCATTGGGAAAGAAGATAGAAGGTTGTTTATGAAGAATAAAACAGGAGGAGGATGCAGAAGGTCTGTATATATATATAATATCCAGTGCAACACACATTCATTATTACATTAACTACCACAGTGGGGCGCCATGGAGCTCAAGTGGAATCTGAATTCCTATTGAAAGTTTTCAAATCACTGATAGGAGTCCATGCATAAGTGACAGATTTTCAATGATATATATTTAAAAGTACCATTCTGAATGCTTCTGAAACACTGATCTAAATTAAATAAAAAGCATTTTTTTCAGGAAGTCAAGGTTCTATTATTCTATTGTATTTGATCAAATTGTCAATTTTTAAGAGCTTGCTTTGATTGATTTTCTTGTCTACACTGAGGTTTTCCTTACCATTCACAATTATCCTGTTTTTCCATCATATTTTATATTAACAGAGGACGACAGAAAATCTTGCTGAAACATTACAATTCAATGATTTGACATTCATATTCAACATTTTAAGGTCAAGATTTGACAAGATGGTGTCTATTACAAAAGGGTTTAGACTGAGTCAATTAATAGTGTTTTAGATGTGGAAGACAATTTAGATAATGAACGATTATGTGGATTTTTATGAAAACTACTGATTACATTATTTTCAAACTGTTGAGTTCCACAAGTATGCATCACGTCCATTTTTGTTACAGGTCATCATCAAGTCTGAGAGGGTCTCATGTATTTAATGATCTTGTCACCTCGACTCATTAAAAAACACCAACAATGCAATGGACATTTGACTAAAAAGATTTACCAGAACAAATTATGAATAATAATAATAATATTTTTGGTTGAATTTATCCATTAATGAAGATGCTTAGTAGTATTATTACAGGGTGGATGCTGGTAAAGTGGAGCACTTTCTGATAATTTACTGCTATTTAATATATAGAGAGAGAGAGAGATAGATAGATAGATAGACAGACAGACAGACAGACAGACAGACAGACAGACAGATAGATAGAAAATCTATCTAAAATGTGGAAAATCTCTCTAAATAATGCTGGGTTAAATACAACCCAGCACTGGGTAAAATATGGACAAACGCAGAGACTGGGGTGTTTTGACCCAGCGGTTGGGTTACTACCCAGAAGGTTGAGTTAAAGGTTTAATCAAACCAGTTGTTGGGTTTGTCCATATTTTACCCAGCGCTGCTGGGATTGTATTTAACCCAGCATTTTTTGAGTGTAGATAGATAGATAAATAGATATAATCCAAAGGTCAACTTAATGCATATTTTTACCTGGTGTCCCATTTTACCTGTATTCATCCTCATGCATAACTGTAAAATCATAGTACATTTTAGAAATAAAAAATTACTCTCTATTATGCTGCACTATTTGGATATAAAGCTATTAATTGCGCGTCGAAGATAATAAATCCTAGGTTTGTGCTTTTTTTCTTCTTGTGTAGTACATGTAGTGAAGAATAAAGGTGAAAAGCAATTGTCTACGAACAGATCTTTGATAAAAGTCTCATATACGATGACCAGGAGGAGGGGGGCTCTGATTGTATCCCATTCAGTAGCGTGTGTGTGTGTGTGTGTGTGTGAGCGAGCGGTCAGTAACGTGTGTGTGTGTGTGTGAACGAGCGGTCAGTAATGTGTGTGTGTGTGTGTGTGTGTGGGGGAGAACGCTGTCTGGTTTCAATAGATCAAAGAGCACTGCTCCTGAATGGAGTCATTTGCAATTATAAGAATAATTAGCATCTGTGGGTCCTCCATCGCTAATCAGAGTCGGAGGTGATGTGTTTATGTCCTCTCGCAATCAGACGGCCAGTTGGAGAGCTCGCGCCCCGCAGGACTCAATAGCGCCTAATCATCATCAGAAGTGAATTGGCATTTAAACGGTAAAATGATCTCCGATTAAATTAATGCTTAGCGGGGAAAGAGGAACCGCTAAGAGGGTACAATTTTAGACCCTTTTCTTTGTTTTTCTTTTATTATTTTTCTTCTAAAATCGAAATTATATTCTCAACTATTCAAGAAAAGTATGATTACTTTTTCTCTTAAAGTCGTGTCCTTCTTAATTTTCCGTGTACTTAACATCTTGTCAAATTATCTGTGTGATTTTCCAGCAATGGATCTTTCCTCTGAATATCTGTGAAGATGAAGCTCTTTTTGTCTGGATCTTTAAAATAGAAACGGATTTCATACGACTTGAATGCACATCTTCTATGATTAACATGTTTTTAATTTATGAACTACAGTCATTTTGATGTTGTTTGTCCAGAGATTGTCAAAAAAAAGGAAAAGAAAAACGTCTCTTTAAAATCTGAATTATTTTACAAAAACAGACCCTCATGGCTGCGTGTCAAGGTCATTAAATTAAAATAAATAAATAAAAATACTACTTTTTAAATAAAAAGGCAGATTTTGTTGAGGTCAAACGAAGCAGTTATTTATCACCAGTGTGCGGATTATTCAGTGACTTTCAGGGGGTCGCATTTTAAGAGAATTTCTGTCAGTAGCCTACTTTTCTTGATGTAACGTTAATCTGTTGAAAGCGTCTCACGGAATTGATCGGTGTTTTCGCCGTCCTAACACCCAAACGTGACGTAAACCATCTAAACAAAATTATTTTTTGTTATATACTTTCAATATATAGCCTAAATGTTAAACAAAGTGATAAATAATGAGAGTTGGCCTACTTGTTTTGTCGAAGTTCCGCCCTGGTCGTAACGGAAAGCTCTCGCGCTGCCTGCTGTTGCTATGGTTACCCCCTCAGGCGAACGCAATCGCGATTTCTTTGCGCTAGCGCAGGTCATACGTTTAGCGAACTTACCTAACTTTTGTGGTGCCTGAAACGTCATTTGAAAACGCTTTTGAAATGTATACATTTCACACAATATAGGCTATTTTAAATTTCACATTTTAAATCCCCCCCGTTTGTTTTTATTGACTTTAGGGAGGTTCAAAGTGTAATTAGGAGGGCCAGGCCCTCCCATAATTCGCACCCTATTCATGACTAAAAATTCATGATATGTGCAAAAAAAAAGGACATTTTGACAAAAATGTAGAAACGCTTTTTTTTTTTTTTTTTAGAAAAAAAGCCTATAGCTACTAGGCCTATATAAAGATTAGGCTACATTTCTAAGAACTTTATATGTTTTTCTTTTACTAGATTAATTTGTTTCTTATTTTTATCATCTAGAAAAACCATAATAATATAGATAATAATAGATATTTATAGCCATATTTTGTAATTCCCCCCAAATTTATCAGTAAGATTTCACACAGATATCTACATTCAAACGTCATCTCATCAGTGCAATCTCTCTCTTGGGGATAATTGTCGGCCAGATTCACTCTTTCTCCCAACAGAATAGAAAAGACTCTCTCTCACAAGAGGGCCGAAACATCTGCCTCTCCGCCCTCACGACTCCGATGCCATCGGCCTCTGAAAGAATCAACAAAAGAACCGTTGTTATATATCTTCCCTTGAATACAAAGTAATTACTTATCATCAATCAAAATTAATAATAGTTGATTGGGTTGGTGTGGTCAGCGCAGTCCCCTCACATTCGCTTTCCAGAGGAGGGGACTTGACCCACTGGGAAACTACCCCCCACCCCTCTCTAGGCGGCCTAAAAAGTCAGGGACTGAATAAGGAAATGTAATTTGAGGAAGATGGATGAGTCTCAGGGCAACTCCCCCTTCTATCCTCTTGTACTGATGATAACCGAGAGAGAGAGAGAGAGAGAGAGGTGTGTGCGTGTGCGTGTGCGTGTGTTTATGTCTCAGTATGTGACAAATAGAGGCTGAGACAGTGAGAGCTCCAGACAAAAAACGCATCAGGTCTCAGTCCGTTGGACGGCGAGGACCCTACAGCACCATCAGGATAACCGTGGACCACATTTGGGTGATTTGTCTTAGAAGGCCCCTGCACGGGATTTATTCGACCAGACCGCGCTCAGTTCACCATGCAGAGACCGAGCAGTGCGGGAACGGCATTTTCCATTGATTCTTTGATTGGTACTCCACATCCCCGGCCGGGCCACCTGCTGTACACGGGCTACCCGATGTTTATGCCGTACCGACCGCTTATGATTCCACAAGCCCTGTCTCATTCGTCATTATCGTCGGGTATCCCTCCCTTGGCACCGCTGGCATCGTTCGCGGGGCGTCTGACCAACACTTTTTGCGCGGGGTTGGGGCAGGGGATGCCCTCCATGGTGGCGCTCACCGCCACCCTGCCCAGTTTCTCGGACCCTCCAGATAGTTTCTATCCCCCGCAGGAGATGCCGGGACCCCGGTTAGGCGCGGACGGGACGGGGATGAACCGGCAGGAGAGCCCGCATGACGAGCTCAAGGGTTCTGAAATCCTCAATTTCACGGAAACTTTTCAGGCGGTTGCAGGTGAGCACCGGACACAAACTCTGACTGACAAGTTGGTTGAATTACGAGCGCAAAAAGTTCTAACGGCCTTTATTTAAAATAAAAGTTCTGATTAGAAGCCAAAGGGTTTTACAGGCTGATGCCGAAAGTTCCACAACAAACTTGTATTCTCTAGTTCTTTAGAAAACACTCTTGTGAGTTAGATAACTCATAAACCAATATGCAAAATTAAAGAACTTTTATTGTAAAACGAAAATGTTACCTCCAAAAAACCCTATCTAAAAATGGATCTTGATAAGATCGATGCGCTTTTGGTGAACTGGTGAACCTAAAGTGCTGCAAAAAGTAATTAGATAACATTTTACTGTGTGGAACTCCATACAAACTCTATGCATAAGCTTTAAGATAGTTGTACATTCAGTCAGAAATGTCATGACACTTGAAAGTTAAGAATTGTATAATAAAAAAGGTAATGGCTTTTGAATGAAAACTCATTAATGTTGTTTAAAGTAGCCGTTTTTGTGCGCTGGAATAACAGTGCATTTCTAATCTACATTTATCATCTGTTATTGTTCTTAGGGACTTCATAAAATTATCGAAAGACAAATGAACACATATGAGCTTGAAAACTTTCATTGTCATCTGATTTGTATTCAGGTGGCACAGGCCTTCACTCCTGGCATTGGAGAGTTTCGAAACAATGATATGCTACAAAAAGATTTGGGTTTTTAGTATTATATGTTTTGTGATATTTCTAAATAATTTCTGCAGAATTAGATATTTTAAAGTTGAAAATTGAACAGACTGAATCACAAAGCAAACGATATGAACAAAATCAATTATTCTATAGTTTCGGCAGTTTTTTTTTTTAAATTTCATTATAAAACTATATTTCCCCATCCAACCTGCTACAATAATGTCATTTCTACTTGAGCTTTTGAGTTTAAACACCATATAAAAAAATAAAAAATCTTCATGGAAAAAAAGTGCAATGAACTTGCAGGCTCTCACTTTAAATTTAAAAATGTAAGGTAACAAGCAAAGTCAGTTTTAGTAGATTGAATATGTAGACAGGCCTGCACTTGTAGAAAAAAAACCGCGTCAATATACGCTCTTGTTGGATTTTATGATGCTTTAGGATATTTATGAAATAATGTCTGTAGAATTAAAGTTTAAAATGGAGCAGAAAGCAAACGATTAACAATTATTGTAACATTCTAGCGCACTTTGGTATTTTCATCTTGTTACAGAATTTGACAATTAATTTGTAGTACTTGATTTCAACTCGATTTTTTTTTATCAGTAATTAATTCGAGGTTGTCAAAAAGGACTTTTCGCTGCAGTTCGTCACCACCTGTTATGCATTAGCTGAACTTCAATTTTAGTGGGTCGAAATATTTCTCATAGGCTAAATAGCCTACTACATTTGCCCCCTTGAACTGACCAAATCTGTGTGGAATATCTGTAACTATTAATCTCCTCATTTTCATTCTCTTCAGGCGAAACCAAGCTCTACAGTTCAGATGATGAGAAACTGGACCTGAAATCAGCGGAGGCCGCGTGCAGTGACAGGGAGGACAGTTCAGCCGACAGCGAGAACGAAAGCTTCTCCGACGGGAACACCTGCGCTTCAGCGTCCCAGAAAAGCAAACTCAAAGGCGGCTCACAGGACACGTTACCACCGGGCGGCTCGGCGGGAAAGAGCCGGAGGAGGCGGACTGCTTTCACTAGCGAACAGCTGCTGGAACTCGAGAAGGAGTTTCACTGTAAGAAGTATCTGTCCCTCACCGAGCGCTCTCAGATCGCGCACGCACTCAAACTCAGCGAGGTCCAGGTCAAAATCTGGTTCCAGAACCGCAGAGCCAAATGGAAACGGATCAAAGCCGGGAACGTCAACAACAGATCCGGGGAGCCCGTCCGGAACCCCAAAATCGTGGTGCCCATTCCCGTGCACGTCAACAGGTTCGCGGTTCGGAGTCAACATCAACAGATCGAACCGGGCAGCAGGCCATGAACTCCTCAATGAAAATGACCCTGAACTCCTCAAACGAACATTTACATGACCCACGTTCCCACAGGTCAGGGGTCACACGCTACAGATGCATGAAGCACACCTAAAAGGAGATCATTCCAGTATCTAGAAGGATATTCAGTGACTTTTAGGAGACACTTTGTCGACTTTCAATTAAAAACACGAGGCCTATACAATGCTTAACGGATCATCGGTTTATATACATTCAATTCTGAAAAGCCTATGAATCAAAGTTTATGAAACTTATATTATTAACACATGACCTGTTAAGCATTTTATATATTTGAAAGTTATTATAAGGTCGACTTTTATATCTGTTCAATATCGACATTACTTTCAGGTTTGTTCTTTTCCTTCTCTCCCCTAAAATGTCTTTATTTTTAATTTATTATTTTGTACATTTGTAAATATTAAATGTGTCCATGCGACACAAATGTGCACTATACGAGACTGTAAAGAGACATTTTTAAAAAATAAGTATTTATAAGTATAGTGAGTTTTTGCATGTTGCCATTTGTTGTCTAATTTTCCCGTATGATTTTAACGGGCCGTTCTCGTTGTTTCGACCATTTTTGCATGTGCTCTTAAAGCATTTCTGTCCCTTAGAGGCGGAATCTCCCCCAGTTCTTTGTGGAAAAAAAAAAAACCGGTGATGGAAATAAATAAGCTCAAGAACACAATGACAGAGTGATAAATTCCCATCGACGTCACAATAAATGTGCAATATGCTGCATAAAACTGTTTAGAGGAGAAATGTATTCATTGCATGCATGTTGGTTCTTCTTAAATAATGTTTCAGTGTTTGTCATATTTGCAAACGAAATAATTATCGATCAACTCACTGAATCGATAGATATTTTATACCAAACATTATCCTAAAGCATAAGGTGACTACTGACAATTATTTATTGGCAACTATTTGATAATTATTTTATTTCTTTATTTATATTTATTTACTCACCCTTAAAAATACATTTAATTATGTAATTATAAATTCCAATTAATAATACAAAGTAAATAATAGTTTATTACCACAGTTTTCTAAGCATATAGCCTACAATTACACAATACAATACAATATATCTACTTTCCACTGTTGAATCTTTTCATATCAAGATATTAGAAATAACACCAGGAAATATTAATCTTGCAATATCTCTTTCCAGGGAATTAATTGATTTAATGCAGGCCACTGACTCGGATCTCTAATTTCTTTTCTTCTGGTTGAAATAGTTGTGGAGCCTTTAAAGGTGTCTTAGCTCTTCTTTACATCCAGCAGATTTACTTTATTTGATGCATTTTGAGCAGATAATAGAGCACACCTGTCATCAGCGTCAAGAGACCATGGGGTAAAATGATTATCCTTCTATTAAACATGAACATAGCATTATTTTATTTTATTTTTCAGAAGTAGGAAGCATTGTGAAGCTTGAGCCTTACACATCTTCTCTTCTCTTTAAACCGGCATTATTGGTCTGAATCATTTCTTTCGGCCTTCTTCAGAAAAAAAGACCAAACATGCTAAATGCGGTTTAAATTTTCCTTCAACATAAAATTATGCTGCTGATATTCAATTTTTATGACTTTGACATGAAACATTATTTTACAAAAATGTATTCAATACATTTAATGTGCATGACTGTACTTCGCTTATTTGTTCCATAACTGTGACTTAAAAGTCTCACCGTTTCCCTTATTCACTGAAAAGTATGACCTACTTGTATAATCAGAGGGGAAGTTGAAAGAGACAATGAATATGAAAGCATACTTTTACAACCACATGTAATTGAGAAAGACAGACATTGACCCAAAGCAGCAGACAACAATCATTTGATTCTATGATGACCAGTACAGATGATCTAAAGGAAGAGAGTGAGAGAGAGAGAGAGAGAGAGAGAGAGAGAGAGAGAGAGGTTTTTTTGTTA